CCCCAAGCAACCCATTTTAGTGGTAAAGATACTAACAGACCCAAGCTACCCATTTTAGTGGTAAAGATACTAACAGACCCCAAGCAACCCATTTTAGTGGTAAAGATACTAACAGACCCAAGCTACCCATTTTAGTGGTAAAGATACTAACAGACCCCAAGCAACCCATTTTAGTGGTAAAGATACTAACAGACCCCAAGCAACCCATTTTAGTGGTAAAGATACTAACAGACACTAACAGACCCCAAACTACCCATTTTAGTGGTAAGGATACTAGCAGACCCAAGCTACCCATTTTAGTGGTAAAGACACTAACAGACCCCAAACTACCCATTTTAGTGGTAAAGATACTAGCAGACCCAAACTACCCATTTTAGTGGTAAAGATACTAACAGACCCAAACTACCCATTTTAGTGGTAAAGATACTAGTAGACCCAAGCTACCCATTTTAGTGATAAAGATACTAACAGACCCCAAACTACCCATGCTAATTGTATAAAGTTTTCACAAATTGGGCGGAATTTGCAGAAAAGCGGACATTTTCGAACTGTGCAGTTTTTTATACACCCTGTATTGTAATCCTTTGGCGAACATTTTTGCCCTAAAACAAAGTTCCAATGCATAAGGGGAAATAATTCCGCCTCTGCTACTCATGCAAACAAGGAATTGATTCCCACTCGGGGTTCGTAGTCTCCAAGACCAAAAAAATTCAAAGACTTTCAAAGATTTTTTCTGCCTATTTTCAAAGACTTTTCAAAGACCTTTGAGAGCAATCAGCTGTCTGTCGAAAAATTGCGAATGTAAGCACAATTTTTACCTGGTAATTAGTCCTGTCAAATCACATCCTAAAATGTGCCTTTTCGTCGATATTTGCGAAAATCTTGCTTCAATCAATCTATTTTATTAGCTAGGAAATCGTATAATCCAGTACTCACTAAAGATTTTAAAGACTTTTAAAGACTTTCTTCGCTTTTTCGCACAATTCAAAGACTTTTCAAAGACCTTAAAAACCTGCATTCAAATTTAAAGACTTTCAAGGATTTCAAAGACCGCTACGAACCCTGCCACTGCAGTCAAGTAACGTCCAGCTGGCCTTGGTGGGACACACCCAGAGTAACATCAGTCAAAAATTCAAACAAACAAAAATCTTGTCTCGAGCAGTATTCAAATTAATATAATGGTATACCTTCTCAGGGTAATCATTGATGAAAATCAAAGTGATCACTTGTGCTCCTTTGTTTAAAATGTATCCTTTCTCTGCATTCACATCACGAACTGACTGTTGAGAAAATTTTTGAAAATTGTTTTAAGATGAAACGAGTAGAAGGCACTCGCAACTTAAATTGATATATTGATAATATTATTATCCATTTAGTATGTATTCTCGTTCCTGATCGGTCAGAGAGCACCGGATAATTCTCAATATTCAGTACTTATCACGTAATTTCAGTTGCTGACGTGCTCAGCATCCAATCACAGAGGTCCAATAATAGTTTTTTTGGATCGAACTTGCATCCATTGGACGCTGTCGTGTCCAAGCCCCGGCGCGGCCAAACTCAAACCGAAAAGCGCACGGAAATAAAATAAATATACTTGAAACATTAATAAACTTCGTTTAATCGTTTTATACGTTTCTGATGTCTTTAAATGTATAATAAAACAATTATTGGATTCGGCTTTCGCATGACATCAAGAATTATTCAGCTAGTACTAAAAAGACTTCGGAAAATCGAGTTTCATACTGATAATGACATGAGGTTTGCCATGTGGTCATATTCAGGAAGTTCTTAATGAAATTAGTAAATTAAATACATCTAAGTCGGTGGGGCCTGACAATATTCCAGCCAAACTTGTAAAGGACTCGAAAGACGTTGTGGCCCCTTTTTTAACATTGATTTTTAATGCCTCCGTAAGTAATGGAATTTTTCCTGATGATTTTAAAATAGCCAGAGTAAGTCCAATTCATAAATCTGGAAACAAAGAAGGAGGTAATTATCGACCTATTTCTATACTCTCGATAATTGCAAAACTGTTTGAGAAGCTTGCTTGTTCGCAACTCAATATATTTTTAACCAAAAATAATATTCTGAGCTCATGTCAGTCCGGTTTTCGAAAAGGTCACTCAACCACAACAGTTCTTTAAGAAAATACTGATCCATGGCTACTGAATATGGATGCTGGGTTGATAAACGGTGTTCTTTTCCTTGATCTATGCAAAGCAATTGACACAGTTAATCATAAAATTCTTATTAAAAAGTTATTTATTTATGGAATTCGAAACAAATCCCTAGACTGGTTTAAATCGTATTTGCACAATAGAAAACAATTCTGGGTGGTCAATAATGCAACATCGTACACAAAGAAACTAAGTTGTGGGGTGCCACAAGGATCAAATCTTGGTCCTCTTATATTTTTGTTATATGTGAACGATCTCCCAAACTGTATGGAGAACTCACATGCAGCAATGTATGCTGATGATACAAATATTACAGTGCGTTCATCTAGTTTAATTCATGTGGAAGAGGCCTTAAATAGTGAATTGGAAAATATTCATCACTGGCTTCTTTCAAACAAATTAACCTTAAAAGTAGAAAAAACAGAATATATGATCATTGGAACACGTCAAAGGTTGAATAATTTTTCTCAAGACATTAATGTTTCTATCGACGGGAAAGTATTAAAAGAGGTTGAAACCAAAAAGACCTTAGGCGTATAGGTTGACGAACATCTGTGCTGGGATAAGCAGATTGACAACATCAGTAAAAAAGCTCTATTTACCAAGCCCTAGTTCAACCACACCTTGATTACTGCTCAATGGTTTGGGGTAACTGTGGTGAATATTTAAGAGGGAAGCTTCAGAAGCTTCAAAACCGAGCTGCTAGAGTTATTACCGGCGACCCATACGAAATACGCGCGATTGATATTTTAAAGAAACTAGAATGGAAAACGTTAAGTGAAAGAAGGAAGGAACAACAACTAAAATACGTATCAAAAGCTCTTACATGCCAATGTCCTAAGAACATTTCGGATATGTTCAAATTATCCAACTCTGTAAGATATGAATTACGAAGCAATAAAAATAAGTTGATGTTGTCAAAGCCAAAAACAAATTCAATGAAACGTACTTTTGGTTACGCTGCTGCTAAAGTTTGGAATGAGAGAAGTTTATTTAATTTGGAATGAGAGAAGTTTTATATATCGTTTTAAATGTTCTTTCAAATAAGACAAATTTATATTACCATATCCCTTTAAAAGATGAAGAAGACACCGGCACCTGTGGGTTCCATTAGTCGAAATAATGACCAGTTATTTTACACAAATCTTTCCCTTTTTCTTTCGTAAGTACCTTAACATATTTCAAAACCTTTCGTTGACTGCTTTCGTTCATATTTCTTGATTATATTTTCGAAGTTGTTTCCTTTAAACATGCCATTTGGCGCCTGTTGTGGAACTTGTGATTCCACCGTCTGGTACGTTCAATAAACGCTCAAGGGAGTGTATTTTATGACTTTATTGATTGTATTATGTGAGAGAAAGTATTTACAACGTGAGTTTTAGACTATTAAACATTCCGATTGTCTCGCTATACGATCTGACAGCAACAATGACATTCAATCGCTGCCCAGCTATTTGATTACCCTACCAAATTACAATGTGTCACTGTGACGTATCATTTTACGCATACAAAGACCTACTTACGATTTAGTTTGAATTACGTTAATCACAATATTGATATATTACATGAAGTATATTTACGCTTGAATGAACTGGCGGCGCTGCGCTGGGAACCTACTATACGACAGCGTCATGTTGTACTCATTGTGTTCCCACTTTCGTATTTCCATTGCATGACGTCATAACGTTGAATTTTTTCCATATTCAACGTTATGACGTCAGTCGGTTGAATATTATATTCTCCGTCTGTGCCCAATCAGAAACCGTTTGAATAAATGATTAATCCGATTAACCAATCAGATGCGAACTAAGGCAGTGAAAAGTAGCGGTAGTGAAAGTCAAATCTAAACCTCTCTATTTGTTTATTGACTGGCCAATCAACTGACTGTATCAGTCTGTATGTGGGGGGAAAGAGAACTTACCTGTTGATGTAGCCATGACATCAACATCTGCTTGAGTAGATGTTGGTCAGACTCTGTCATCTCATTGTAGCTAAAACATTAAGTAAAGACGTTTTTGCAGCAACTACAAACTAGTTCCTGTTATAGGTATAGAGGCAACAATGAACAGCTGCGGTGTCAAATATATACAACCACCTGAAAAATATAAGCTCCATCCGCCACTCTAAGCTTTCAAACAAAATTATTTTTCCTCAACCTGGTATACTTTATTTAGCCAGGTTATTTTCGAAAACGACGTACTATTTTCTAAAATTGATTTAGTTATTTGCCATCTCAAATCGTGAAGTTATCTTGGTGAAGAATGAAAGTGTGATATATTACATAGTAATTTGGTTGAAGAGCCCAGTGTGTTGCTATCTAATCAACATACACTAGTTAATTTGGATGCTTTAAGATTGCCTCGACTCCCCTCCCCCGCTTCCCACAGCCGCCTAATTTATTACAGAAATCAGTAGAGTGTCTTTTCCAGAAGTTGAAAAGACAGTCAGAAGCCAGTAGACGTTCATGTTTTATGACGTCACGATGAAGGAATGCAGCGTGGAACTTGTATGTTATTTTACTTATTAGTAACTTTATTTAGTTTTCATTTCTTCTCCCAGTGTCTTCCCACGAACAAAGCTTCTCCCTTCGCTCGAAAGCTTGTTTTGCGCTTGGCGAGCCATTGGCAATCTGTCAAACTAAATAAAGTTACTAATAAGTAAAATAACATACAAGTTCCACGCTGCATTCCTTCACTGTGACGTCATAAAACATGAACGTTTCTACTGGCTTCCGACTGTCTTTTCAAGACACTGATTTCGGAAATATCAACACGGCCACAACAATCAGCCATGTTTCTGATTTGTTATTTATTTGTTTATCTATATTTGTGTTGCCACTATACAGGAGGGTCAATTCGTCAGTGGCAAGCGTTACTGAATGAATTTATCAACCTATCAAAATACCTTTTCTTTGCATGGTGTTCTAATACTTGGAAGCAGAAAAATCTGGAATGGTCAACGCTGGAAAATAAAACATCATTGTTCAATACATTGAAAAGGCAAAAACACCATATATTGTCTACAGGCTGGTTTTCACTGATGGGCGACACTCCCTGACAGTTGCCGATTTCTACTTGTCGATTGTCAGCGGACAGCGAGCATTGCAGGCAGGCGATCTTCATTATTGTAGTTTGTCTGCAATTTTCATTATTTTCATGATTCAGCAAGAATTTCACCCAACCTCAATACTACTCCAATTATTAAAAAATTACTCAATATTACTCAGATTAGTGATTATTGTTATGAGAATTTCTACAACTGTCACTGTCCACTCTTGAATTGTCATGCTGCGACTACCACCAAATGTCACAAGAAAACAAATATTTTATGATTGATCATAACTGTCTACAAAAGTCACAAATTCATTATGATTGACAGGTGGATTTCATTTGTTGTAAACCGCCTGCAATGCTCATCAATGGTCAAGGAAACAACATCAGTGAGCGTCACTGATTAATGAAGGTCAGCCTTCAAAGTTTATTAACTCATTAGGTAGCATTGAACCTTAATGCACCCCTACTTTATTATTTTACTTTGTTCTAGACCAGTTGATTTTACAACCTCGTTTCCAGGCTCTTACATCTTCTGGAGGAAATACCCTCACTCTGGTAGGAGCTGGTCACGTGACCTGCTAAAATCTAGCCGATTTTTAATCGAGGTTAATAAATATTTGATATTTGTATAGGTAATCATGCGATGGCGAGTACAATTAGGGATTAATAGTACGAGTGATGTTTGGAAATTTTGCCAAAATTGGACGAGCCGCCGGGGTGAGTCCAATTTGGCAAATTTCCAAACATCACGAGTACAATTAATCCCTAATTGTACGAGCAACATCGCATGATTACTTGTTTATTATTAGCATGACAAAATTGGATACGTACTTCTCAATGTCAGCATCATATTCTCTCGCCAAAGCCCAGTCCTGCCAGACTTTCAACCAGAATTTGGTGTTTTTGTTTGTATTTTCATTTAGTTCTTTTGTTAAAGCAAAATTTGGTGCTTGTGTTCGTATTTTCATCTAGTTCCTCCACGGCAATTTCATTTCACGCTTGAGTTTAAAATACGTTTCCGCCATTTTGTTTGTTTTGGGAAAATCATTAATTGTACTGCAGTACAATTAATGAAATAATTGTACTCCTCTCAACCAATCAGCATCCAGTAATTTTGTCATGCTAATAATAAATATTTTAATTTAATTTATAACTTGCATTTTGTCTTGCAAGTTTGATTTGATTTTAAAGCAATCCAAGATAGCGAATTAGAAATCTGCTAGATTTTAGAACAAATCACGAGACCAGCTCCATTCTCGTACCCAGAGCCCTTCTTACGCGCGTTCGACCGAGCGCGACGAGGGACTCTGGCGAAATCCATAACCGAATACCATAAAAACATGGTAAGAAAACAATATCCGGTGTTAGAACTAGCCAATCAGATGCCAGTTCGGAATATGGATTTGGCCAGAGCCCCTAGTCGCACCGCGCGTAAGAAGGGTCTGGGTACGAGAATGGACCAGTTCCTACTAATGTAACGTCTTTCCTCCACAAGACGTAAGAGCCTGGAAACAAGGTTGTTGATTTTACTGGTCAAGGGGAGAGGGCTCATATATCTGGAGTGAGAACTCAAGTCCAAAAAGCCAAGCTAAGATCTGGACATCAGTTCCAGTCAGGCCTCGAAATAAGTGCCGGTCATCGGTCACTGACCGGTAAAATTTCACAGTTTGACCGGCAAATATCATCGCCTGGCGGACATGCGTGACCGGTAAATTTTTTAATAAAAAAATACGTTAAAAAATGGAGCAGATTTTTCACTTCCAATTTTCCAAACGCAGGCTAATAAGGGCGGCGAAGTGACACATTTTGTCATACAGATACGATACACCGCAAGCATTGTGCCTAAGGGCTGTTTTCCAGTTGCGCGTTTTTCACACGTGCGACGGAAAAGTTTAAATCTTTTAAAATTTCATACAAGTGCAAATAACCTTAACAAATACACATTAAATCATACACGAAACTGAATGCTGTCCTTTAAAGCATGCTCGCAACTCAAACTACAGTTGTCATTTGCGACCCGCTGTAATATATTACTTTGCTAGTAAATAATGTTAATGTTATTAGTACTACAGCTTTGATAAACGCCATACTTCTACTTAATTAAAATACACAATTGTTTCTAAAGTGACGAGTCAAGCGAAAGATGAGGGGAAAAAAGAAAGCCAAGGAGTGACAATGACCGGCATAAATTCCTCTGTGACCGGTAAATTTAGTGATCCCCGGTCATAATGATCGGTATAACGTCCAGATCTATTTCGAGGCCTGGTTCCAGTCGCTTTCCATCGTTTTTGTCTGTGCAGTCAGACACAAAACTGCAAGAAGCGTGCCAACATTTCGTGTTTTAACTTCAATTTAAGGTTACAGGAGACCCTAGAATTTTAAAATTTAAAAAAAAAAAATTATTTAATTTTCTTGTAGCTAGGAAATAGATCTGTCGTCAGAAAAAATTTCAAATTAAAATCTTTCAAATTGAACACGTTATCAAGTAAAACGCTTTCCAAATTCTATGATCACTAAATCATGAATATGCTTTGGCGGGAAAACGAATTAACATAAATTAACATATAATTAGTGATTGACAGCACGTCAAGTTGTACATTTCATTTTATTGTCACAACACGCACTCATCGACACGTTGTTTACATCGAAAATCACTGTTAAAATGCCAAAATCGAAGTCTAAAACTGATAGAAAGAGTACAAATCCTTTTTGCAACACAAGGTCAAGGGGGAAGAAAAAAAAAAAGACGGACGCGTGTGTCTTTAAAGATGAGAGAAAGAGTTATCTCTCCCATACTGACCTCGGCTCATATTTTGAACAAGAGAAGCAATGGCCCGAGCTTTTTTCTGACAAAAATCCGGGAGATGCTGGAAGTTCTTCGCGAAGTGAAGCGAAATTAAATGACAGCATGGAAAGCTTGAAGAGAAGAAAAGCTTCAGAATCGGAGTCAGAATCGGAGTCAGAATCGCTTACCGACTTAGACAACAGCGAGGATGGTGCATTTAAAGCACCTGTTGGACGTTATATTGTTGAGCCTGGATGTCTACAAGAAATGGTCGACAATTCAGCAGTTTGTAAGTATTGCCATTGCCCAATACACATACGCGAGAAAGCGAACTCAAGGCACGGATTGGGGGCAAAATGGATTTTCATTTGTACAAGCGAGACATGCGTTTCACATGTATTATCACGCGCTTCAGTGCCAATTTCGGAATATTCTGGACAAAAATATACGGTGAACGCTTCTTCTGTTGCTGCTTTCCGAGCAATCGGGAAAGGCAGGGCTGCAGCAGAGAAATGCCTTAGTATGTTGGATATTTCTTCGCCAGTATCCACATGGAGTTCATACACCAAAGAACTAGAAACCAAGTCAAAAGAACTGACCGAGACTAGTATGGAAGACGCCGTATTTGAACTGAAAAAACTTAAACGTTGTATCGGAGAAGTTCCAGATTGCACTGATGATCAGTTGAAATCCAAAATTGTTGATTGTGCCGCTAGTTTTGACGGTTCTTGGAACAGCAGAGGGTGGTCTGCAAGAGACGGAGTTGTGACAGCTATATCTGACGATACGGAAAAGGTTCTTGATGTTATTTTCATGACCAAATCATGTCCGCAATGTAAACAAATGGACGATAAACGGGCACGTGGGGAATTGACAAGGCTTGAGTTTCTGGATTGGTATATAAAGCACGAACCAGGCTGTCTTCTTAACCATGATGGGAGCGCTCAGGTAATAATAAACACTATTACCTGTATTAAACAATATATATTTATTGGTGGGTAGAGAAAACACATCCGTCTAAAAAATTAAATCATGACTAAAAGAAGTTCTTTAAAGCATACTGATATCTGGCCTTCAAAATAGATAAACTCGGGTAAAAATTTAGGCTTTATTGTT